GCTCCTTGTCCTGCATTCTGTTCTTCTTACAGATGTTAATGGACAGAGGTTTAGCCTTCAGCACCATTAAGACGTATGCTGCGGCGATTTCCTCCTGTCACGTAGGTTTTGGTGACAGGACGGTTTTTAATCAACCGTTGGTAAAACGGTTCCTAAAGGGAGTGCGCAGGCGCAGACCTGTCACGCGTACATTCGTACCACAGTGGGATTTAACACTGGTGCTACGCGCTTTGGCTAAATCTCCTTTTGAGCCTTTGGATCAGGTCTCACTAAAGCTTTTATCTCAAAAAACAGCGCTGCTGTTAGCGTTAACATCAGCAAAGAGAGTCAACGAGCTGTCTGCCCTGTCAGTGTCTCCCTCCTGTCTCAGGACATGGGAGGATGGCGGCTCTGCGACTTTGTGTCCTAACCCGGTTTTTATGCCTAAGAGCATCGCAAGCTTTTACAGCTCCAGAGTTATTACTCTGAGCGGGTTCTGTCCTCCTCCTCATAATTCGAAGGAGGAAGTAGTTTCTCACCTGCTATGTCCCATACGCGCACTCTCGTGTTATGTGTCACGCACGGCACAGATCAGGCGCTCTCAGTGTTTATTTGTTCACTACAGAGAGCAGTCTGCAGGACAAACTTTGTCTTCGCAGAGGTTGTCACATTGGATTTGTGAGACTATTTCCCAGGCTTACATCTCATCAGGTCTGCGGCCTCCAGCTGTACTGTCAGCCCATTCTGCAAGGGGGCTCTCTTCCTCCACTGCCCTGTACAGTGGAGTATCAGTCCAGGATATTTGCTCTGCAGCCTCCTGGTCATCCCCTTGCCCCTTCATCTGTTTTTATCTACGGGATGTTTCGGGCCCCTCTCTGACTCACTTTGTTCTCAGGACCTTGTCAGAGTAATATCTTTTGTCTTAAATTATTGGACAATAATGACTTTTGTGCTTGAAGTGATGCTGCACATACAGTGTGCTGTCTCTTCTTCACATCATCTGGATCATATGATGGACACAGGGGCTCATGCAAATCTGTTCACTATGTGAATCAGCTGTTGCTGCTGCCTTTTGCTTATGCAACATCACAAGGGGTGTTTTGGGCGGAAGCTTCACGAGTATGTCAAGCCGGTGAGGCGTAGACAATATCAGGC